CCTATGATCACCTTATAGAAAAAGCTAAAAATAATAATACAAAACTAAAGACAAAACATTTAACTTCATTGATCGAAATCTCAATTTTCTATTAGGTCAAGCAAATGCTAATATCCTATTAAATAGACGTATGCCACAATTTTTGGCACAAATGATGAAAAATAAACAGCAATGTAAAGATCTGCTCACAAAATCTTCAACATTGAAATCGTTATCTACACATTTTTATTAGGCGAAGGATTCATTAAAAAACTCGTCCGTGCTAAAACAAAGTCCAAAAACTACGAGATAGTAGTGAATGGTAATGGAGTACACTCAATGCAGATGCAGATATCAGCATCTAATTCTATATTATCTGTTGGGTTTTAATAAACAAATAAATAAATAGTCTAAAACAAACTGAAGTAAATAAAAGGAAAGTAATTAAGTGCGCTATTTAGAACACTAGATTTTAAGTTCACCCAGTTTAGGAATGATAAGTTAATTTTCTTTAAATGGCTAATGAACAGAGTCAATGATGGGAATACTAAGTTAATCTCTTACTTCAGTTTGTTCATAAAATTCTAATTTCATATCGAGGTTAGTAAATTCTGTAATGAAATTATCTATTGTACAAGGTCTCAAACATGGGAAACAGAACCTTCAGCAGGAGGAAAGTTAAGCACGGAAATTTCAGCGCTAGGAAAGATCAATACCAAGAGAAATCAACGCAAGTATTGGTTTATCATAGTTTTGAGATAAAAGTACGAATCGACAATCAATATGCAAATCAAATGTGTTTGTTTTTATATTGAGCATATTTCAAAAATTCTGAATCAGACATGTAGTACGGATGACAGCTAGTGCTTTGGGCACACCGTTGTAAGATAAGTCGACAGATACATTTGATTAACAGTGTTCGACGTCGAGAAATAGAATAAATTCTGATAATTAGTTATTCGGGTATTTATTCAATTATGAATTAATCTTTTGTATCTAATGAATCATACATTAAGCTATACGAAGTGTTTAGCCATTTCAATTACATCTGTACCATCACATTTATACATTTTATCGGGTTCATATCGTTAAACTTAACGTAAATATTAGTCAAGAATGAGAATTTTGAGACGAATATTTAATACAAATGTTTTATAGTACCGTTAGTTGAAATTGTCGTGAGCAATGATAAATATATGATAATGGCAAAAGTGACTCTTCATCTATGTATACTACTTCTATGTTGAGTTTTCGAAAATACTCGGCTCATAATCTCATTATTAAATTGTTAAACATAATTTTAAGATGGATATTTTAATTTCATATTCAACTGTATACTTGTAAACTTGATCTATACATAACTCCAAGTGAAATTCATCTTGCAGGATCATTTGGCAAGATTTGTCGACCTGGGTATGACAATATTGCAGAATAGAGAATTAAGAAAAGAGGATTTGCGTTTCGAAGAAGATTTAAGAAAGTGAGGTTCGATGTTGAAAGCGTCACCGATTGCCGTAGAATTATTTAGTTTATCTAAGTTACAAATGGGAAACAAAAATTGACGTAATAATTGGAAAGCACGTCGTACTCATCGTGTGGATAAATGAAGATTGTATTGATAAATTGATAAGTGAAGTTATTCGAAAGAAACCGTGTGTGCCACCGGAGTTTCAAAAACAGAGAATAGGTATCTTAGTAATGCTGGGCTACCTTACGCCATCATGGTTTCTGTCATGTACTGTCTAACTCTAGCAACTAAGTCTAAAATTTATAAGAAAGATGACAAATTAGATGAAAAATTTCGAATATCTGGAGATTCACCACGGTTTTCTCACCGTTTAACTCAGGCCGTTATTTTTAAGTTAAAAGACGGTTGTCTATGGCACCGGTTTTCAACTGTTTTTCACATGTTTTCTGAGATCGATTATTTTTAACTTTTACTTCAAAAATATTATTTTTATAGCTTTTAGATTTTGCAATCTTTAATTTCAATTTTTTGAGCTTTTGGTACTATCAGCAGTATCTGCCCCAATACTATGATACTATCGCTAGTAGCAAGGACCTCCTTCCCGAACAAGTGTCTATCATCTGAGTGTCTGAGACAGGGAATATTCTGTGAGTATCTGGGGTCGTTATATATTTTTATTTTTTCTAAGCCTTCTGTCGATGTTGTACGATTGATTTTTTCATTTTTAATACGACTATCAAATGTTATAAATAAACTACATGCATTGTCATAAACAAGATATTTCGACACAGGAACTAATGATTAAAAGCTTTTAAGTGTTAAAATTATATGGTACGGTACACGTAATGGACATTCAGATTGACACAATTCATGATAAGCAACGATACTAATAGTTCCTTAATAAAACACCAGAAAGTATCTCACATTGTGCGACTCCTGGGTTTGAAATAGTATTTCAACTTATCAAAACCTTAAATGTACCCATTTTTACTTTAATCCAGGCACAAAAAAATTGGCCCTAAAACGGGTTTTTATTCCGTTTTTAACTATCAAAAAATGCGTTAAATGTTTCATTTGAAACGCAGAAAAAGCGTAACTTTTGCGTTAAAAAAGGACAAAAGACACATTTTCAAACGTTCTAGAAAGCGTTTCAGATGAAACATTTAACGCGTTTTTTGATCGTTAAAAACGGAATAGAAACGCGTTTCTGAATCGAACTCCTGAATCGGTCCAGAAACCAAAGCTGGAACTTGGCTACCCAGTGGGACTTGTTCTAAATATAGTGGAAAGTCTGTAATAAAGGAAGTACAAAACTGGTGATCTAAAACTGAAAAAGAATGAAAAGATGACATTTCTTCGATATTTCGATTGTTCTTATATACTCGGCTGATCGCAAAACAAGACGGTGAATGATTAGTTGCGTTTTTCAACCGTTAAAAACGGAATAAAAACGTGTGAGAACGGAAAATGAAACAAACGTTATGAAACGCGTTTACACACGTTATATCCCATAGAAAACGCGTGAAAACGGGTCAAAAAACGAAAGTTTCGTAACGCGTGTTTTTGCCGTTTTTAACGATTGTTTTGTGCCTGGGAAGTTTGCCTGAGCAGAACTGGAATTTGTGTTACATCCAGCTAGTTTGAAATCTGCCTGATTATGATCACAAAATCTACGGTATGCGCGCTTGCAAAATATTCACCAGTTTTATTGTATGCTTTCATAGTTTAGGAGCCCAAATGATGAAGTCATGACGAGAAAAATGTCCATTTTCTGTTCAGTCTCAGTGCAATTTCTAATTTCTATTCCTTATTCCGCGCACGTCTTTTCCTCAAATGTTTCTGAAGAACACCTGCTGAACCCAAAGTACCCAAAGTATTTAGTTTGTTTTACCTCTTAGTATGATGTTATATTTCATGTTAGGAAGTTGATACAGCCCGTAATTGTATTATGATATCTCTGAGTAGAACAGATGTTTATACGATATTGTTCTTCAAAAAATCACTATACTGATCAGGAAAGCAGAATGCTGAGCAGAAAAACAGAAAGACTACTCTTTTTGTCTTTCCAGTATCCTGTGCAAGACCCTAACCAAGTCGTCTGAACTAGAGTCCTGCGAGACAAACTTTTCTGTTGCCCCGAGCCCGTAAGCCCGAGTCCGTGAGCAAATAATGTTGTACAAATCCGTGTGTCCCATGAAAATAATTTACGGGCTTTTTTGTCCCGTTCCGTGTCTCCCGAAGCTTTTCGAAAATACGTTTCTGTTTTGATAAACCGTAACTGTTACAAAAGACGTTTAAAGTCTCAAACTTATTTTTGCAAAAAATCCGCAAGACAAAATCTAAGCCTAATTTATTTGATTCTAAAATTAGAAGTTACTGTATAAAAACATGATTTACATCCACTCACTTACTACCTCAGAATCGAACGGAAAGAACCGTAAACCTAGTTTTAAATATGGAAACATCTTCTCAAGTTTAAATCCAGACTATTTCACCTCTCCCGGTTAATTTTCAGTTATTATAAAATTACGGTTTTGACTTGATAGTATTACAAGAATTAAACATTTGAAGTTGCAGCATAATTACAATTAAACGGCAAAAATTATGGAACAATATTTTTCTGCAACTTGTCCCGAGCCCATGAGCCCAAGTCCGTAAACTTTGTGTTGTCCCGACGCCGTCTGTACCACGGGACAGGACAGACGGGATGGGATTCGGGACTGTCCCGCAGGAGTCTAGTCTGAATACTCACTGAGGTAACGATTGGTCACTAGCTCACTTAATCATTTGCTTTACATGCGTATAGATACTTGATATTAGAGTCCATAAACGTATAGAGAAAATTGATATATACACTGTAAAAATAAAGTGTAAACATCTAGATGGCCCCTGGAGGACAGAAGTGTATAAAGTGTTTATGTGAGTAAACTGTGTGTGCCTATTTCTAAGTGTGTAGTTTTTTTATTAATTTTCCTGTTGAGAGCTATTGTACCAAAAAAACTTATTTCAGAATGCTGATCAGGTTGATCAAAATCGTATATTATCGAATTTTCATTAAATATGAGCAGAAAGGAAGTCGAGAAAAACACCTCCACTTGTCAGATTTGAACAGGAGAATGACAAATTCACCTACGTTCTAGCTGAAAAATTTTTTGACTCTTTAGTTATATTTCATGTCTCGATGTGTCCAGTCTTTGTGTTGAAAAAGAAGTGCGTTTTGGGCCCACTTAAACCAGTCATCCTAGATAATCGCTCAGGGAGAACAATCGTTCACTTTAAATGTGTGCTGAGAATACTTTGTTTATAGTGTAGAGGATTAGACATTTAGTAGGAACAAGTTTCGTTTTACTAGTATTGACTTCCAAAGTGGATGGGTACTGCCTTGAGGATTCACTTGTATTCCACTTCAACTTGAAATTTTATATAATAATTTTTTGAATTGATTGAATTCAACAAACTTGGTAGATTTGAGAAGTGTAATTCGATAAAATGGTTTTGTTCACGTAGAAATGGACTCAAGGAATATTTGTGTGTAAAGTTGTTGAGTTCGAAAATGTTAGGGGGATCATCGACGTGTATCACAATGTATCAGTAAAAGACGGAAAAAAGGTTATATAAAGAAAATGAGTTTGACCTCTTTCATATGACTAAATTAAAATATTCTCGCATTTTTCTGAACCCATTGAATTTTTCGTCTTCAATAAAATATACATATTTTCTAGAACTCATTTCAAGTTAAATATAGCTCATATGAAACAAAAGGTTATAGATCGTTCATCTACATTGAACATTGGAAACATCTTTTTCTGAAATGTCGATACGATCAGACAACAAGTAGTTCCCTCGAGAGAGAAAATACGCTGAGAAGAGAAACAACACTAGAGGTCAAGTATTATTCGAGCTGATTGGAGAGTCAACCGTATAAGACGGGTAGATGGGAAAAGATACTAATACAAACCTTTAATAAATTCCTAAATATGTCAACATTAGAGTCACAAAACACTATAATATATAAAACTTCAAGTTGAAAATTTTTAATGAGAATGTTTAAGTCAGTTAAAATGTATCATTTCTTTGCTCTTAGACATTCAGCTGTCGTGGTTTCGCAATAAATAGTAGATAACGAAAGATCGAACAAAGAGAATTTTTTTAGGGTGCAAAGAGTAATCCTTCTTTTCTGTCACTCAAACAACTTAATTATGAATCTAAATGCAAAAACATGTAAACTTCTCTACTTATACTCTATGGCATCTATTGTTTTCATCCGCGATAAGTATACAACTCTCGTATTTTGAATATTATTAAAAAATAAACTAACTAATTCACTAAAAGATATTGAAAATCACGCACGCATCTATTGATATTGTTACATTCACTAAATTTAACAATTATTTGGTCACAATTAGTCATATCAACCTTTACTGACAAATAATGAATATTAGGCTACTTTTTTAATCGTTAGAATTGTGCTCTTTTACTAAAAGAAAACTTGTTTTTTTCGATAGAAATATTTTGTTAAGATCAAGTCTAATAATGAGTCTTGAGAGTCGTGTTTCAGAATAATAAATTCTGCATTAATATTTCCTATTTTGTGATGTTAAACAAAAGAAGTATAAAAAAAGCGATAGGCGTGAGATATAGAAAATTTTTATTTAAAAAAGAAGTCATCATGATGGAAAAAGTGTCTGTATAGTTTTTTGTGTCGAACAATGATTTTTTTATTTTATTTTCTTGTCAATCATTTAACGAATATATTGATCGAAAAAGAAAAAAAGATGCGAGAAGAAAATTTACAATATCAGAGAAACGGATAGTTTTATATATATATATATATTTATATCTTATGATCACAACAAGAGAGAAAAAGATGAAGGAAGAGCTAAAATTGAGTTTTTCTAATTTCAACAATGAAATAATGACGGGAACAAGTTAGTTATTGATAAAAAGAAAAATGGTTGATGAATAGATCATCAATCTTGAATAGACATCAAGTATTTTAAAAAAGAAAAAGGAAGATTAATTTTTAACACGTTCAAGATTTTCATAACACACACATATACATCAAAAACAATATTTTAATCCAAATATATACATATATATATTTATTTATTTTAATATTATTACAGAATACTATTTATTTTATTTATTTATTTTTTTTTTTTTTGACAATAAGTTTATAATAATAAGAAAATTTGAAAAATTGAAATTAAATCATACAAATTAATACTTTACATATTAATCGAACATGTTTTATAGTCAAATTATTTTCAACGTTCGAGACTTACACAGGCGCATTTGAAGGTAAGATTATTTTTACTCCTATTACAATTATTATTATTTCTCTAAAGATTACTTTGTGATGATAATGTCACTTTTCAAGTTCAAATTTAACAATTAATTGAATTTTACTATGTACATTACAATTGTTTATCTAAAAAAATATGATTAAAAAAAAATAAGATTGAACTTTTTAAAGTTTTAATTTTTCTTTTTTAAAATTCTAATCATTTTATCATAGTTGAAATAGTTTTATACTATGACATTATTTTTCAATATAGATGATAATCATAAATTTAGAAGTACTGGATCATAAGGAAAATATGGTTATATTCTTACGTGAAAAGAGGATGTTTAAATAGCGACAAATAGATAAATATTTATACTAATCATGAAAGAGAGAAGTGCCTATGCCGTTTTCTTCTTTCCGGAATTTTTTGTATGATGTGCTAGATAGTTGTATAGGAAATATGAAAAAAAATTAAATTATGGTCAATCGTTTGAATAAAGAAGAAGAAGAAGAAGAGGAAGAAGAAGGGAAAACCTGTTTTTTTCCCTCGGAGTGCTTCACTATTTAATAAGTCACTGATATATCATGATCGAATAGAGAAAGAAAAAAAACAAAAAAAAAAGGAACATTTCTTATTAAAAAAACACAAATTTTTGAACATAAGTATTCATTTGTTGTGTTATTCACATAGTAGTTAACATGAATTCATTTGACACACATATTTAAACGAAGTTTTTGAATAAACAATATTTAGAAAGGGTAAAGTTACTTGAAAAACATTTCGGTGAAAGTGAATGATTTTTTTTCTTCTTCTTGATAGTGATGATCAAACGGTATCTTAGATTCTAAAATAATACTTTTTAAACTTTAATTAGAAAGAGATGTTTCTATTGAACTTTGTTTTAACCCTAATATATGTTCAATTTTTAAGAGTGGATTGAAGCAACACAAGTAGTATGAGATATGTGTTCAAAAAATAAAAACAAAAACTTTTAATGATAGAAGAGCATATCTCTCTTTCTATCATCCATTAAAACATTTCTGCCTTGAAATTATTCTAAATTTTTTGCATTAAATTTGATTTCAACAATGTTTATTTCTTTTTTTTTTACCTTTTTTTTTTGTATTTTTAGAACAACTTAATCCAATCAATGTCTCTCTTCAATCAGCATATGCTAAATAATCAATGGTCATCTTTATTAACAGTCAATGGTTTATATTTAGAATTATTATTACTATTCAATTTATATTTAATTTTGTCTATTCAACGATTGATTTTTATAGCAATTCCTATTTAATGACGGAAATGAACATTAGTACAACTGAACAAACATTTATTATTACAAATGGGTCATATATCCGTTTAAATATTGGTGGATTTTTCGATTTAGATCAAGATTCTATTCGTGAATTACAAGCAGCACAAATGGCAATTGATGATGTCAATGAATCTGGTTTCATATCAAATTATAAACTTCAATTATTTAAAAACGATACAAAAGTAAGTCGGACTGTATATATATATTTTTTTTTTCTTTTTTCTTTTCTTAGCTAAAGTCTTTATCCTGTTTATTCTAAGAAAATCTCTATTCATAGATAGATGTATAAAACATTTTTTTCTTTTAAAATAATGAAGCTAATTACCTTCTTTCTTTTTTTTATTTTATCGAAATACAACGTGTTTCCGTTCAATTTTTTATTCCTCTCTAATTGGTTTAGTAAATAATAGAAAATATTCTTGCATGAAACATAATATTGAGCTTCGAATAAAATAAATAAAAATAATCAATTATATTTTGACTATAAATATAATTGGTCATTGTTAGTTTTACTTTTTTTTTTCATTTTTAGTGCAATCCTGCTTATGGAACAGATGCATTTTTTCATGCAGTATTTCGTCAACCTCAATTATTATTTCTAATTGGTACACAACAATGGAATGTTACAAAATCAATAGCTCAAGTTGCTGAATATTACAATATTATATTAGTATGTTCAAATTAGAATTAAGAAAAATTTTTTTTTAATATATAAAATCTTCTAAAATTGAACATTTTCTTTTCTATGAGTGAAAAAAAGTAAAGGATATTGTATAATGTTTTCTTTTTCACTTCTACTTAATTCATATAATATTTCATCTGACAATCATTTCTTATAAAATCTGACATATAGACGCTTAGAACAATAAGAGAATTATTAAAAAGAAAAGAAAAAAAAGAAGAAGAAGAAGAATATGAGCCTTTTAATAACAAGACTAATTATATAAGTCAAACCTTATTTATTAATTCTAGTTTTCACATTCTGTATCATTCATTACACAAGCAAAAGAATCGAATAGTTCTTATCCAATGTTAGTTCGTTTAGCTATTGCTGATGAATTACATAATAATGGTAGAATAGAATTTTTAAAACGTCATAACTGGTTTAATGTAGCAATAATTCATCAAGATTCGATAGCCCATGCATTAGTAAGTTTAGATATATTTACCCAATGGCATAATAATTTTATTTTGTTGTTGTTTTCTAATTGATTAGACTATGGCTGAATTATCAAAACGTTTAAATTCTTCGAATATTACTGTAATTATCATGCAAAGTGTATCAATGTCAAATTTAACCGATGGTTTAAGAACATTACAAGTAAGAAAATAATTATTATTCTCCCTTCCTCTCTCATTAAGACTATTTTCAACTTTTTTCTTGTTTTCTTCTTTTAGGCAAAAAAAGCTCGTGTCATTTTTGCTAGTTTTGATGCTGAATACAAAGCAACATTTTTTTGTCAAGTAAATGTCATAGATGATTTAATAATTCCAAGAATAAAAAATAAAATTAATCATTTTTCTTTTTAGATTTATCGAACAATTGATAAATTATTAAGAAATCGTTATGTTTGGATATTGACGGGTGAAGATCAATATTGGTGGAATAAATTTACTTTAAAAGAATCAAATATATCGTGCACAAGAGATCAAATTCTTCAAACAGCAAATGGTCATTTTATTATTGATAGTGTTCATGAAACATTGGAAAATTCAACAACAACAATTGCCAATATTGTATGTATTATCGATCCA